TATATTCACAGTTGTGCAACCATCAACACAATCGATTTTAGAATACTTTCAGCAGCCCATAAAGAAACCTTGTATCTGTAAGCAACATTCTCCATCTCCCACCCCACATACACTAATCTGTTTTCTGTCTCTATGAATTTGCCTATTATGGACGTTTGATATAAATGGAATCACACAAAATACAATCTTTTTTTTTTTAAGATTTTATTGGGGAATTGGAGGAGGGGAACAGCGCTGGGGAATCGGGGGAAGGGGAACAGAGAAGTTGCTGTCCTTTGTTTCTTCAGTTTAGTTATGGAGGACGTTGCTTCACTGGCCCATGTTGGTATGATCATTGCGCTCTTGCTGGGTGAGGCAGATCTGTCGCTGGCCTCTGGACGGCCGCTCACGGCAGCTCACATCGGCTGCCGGCATACAAGGTAGCTCACTGCAGCCTACTGCAGCTTCACTGCAGCCTACGCCGTCACCGGCGACTCAGGGCAGCCCAGCTCCAGGTCAAGCTGTTGTTCGCCATTTTAGCTGTAGAGGGCAGTGTCACTGGCCCTCATGTGGGATCCAAACCAAGGTCCTGCAGCTCAGAACCGGTGTCCCAAGCCAGCTCTTAGCAAACGCGCCACTCAGCTGGCCCAAAATACAATTTTTTTGATTGGCTTCTTTCACTTAGCATGATTTTTTCAACGTTCATCCATGTTGTAGCATGCATCAGTACGTCATTCCTTTTTACTGTCAAATAATATTCCATGGTATGACTATATCACATTTTATTGATCCATTCATCAGCTGATGGACATTTAGGTTATTCCCATTTTTTGGTTACTATGAATAACGTTGCTATGGACATTCTTATAAAAGTTTTATGTGGACATAGACATGTGTTTTCATTTCTTGTTTCCTTTTCTCTAGGAGTAGAATTGATGGGTTACATGGTAACTAAATATTTAACCTTTGAGAAACGGCCAAACTATCTTCCAAAGTAGCTGAACCATTTGACATTCCCTACCTGCAGTGTATGAGCATTCTGATTCTACACATCCTGGCCAACATTTGTTATTCTTTGTTTGAGTTTTTTTTTTATAGCCATTGTAATGGATGTGATCCCATTGTGATTTTGATTTGCATTTGCTTAATGGCTAATGATGTTGAACTTTTCAAGTGCTTATCGACGACCACTTTCTTGGATCTCTTTGAAAGTAAACTTTTTGAATGCCTTGGTCTCTGAGCCTTCCTTCTACACTAGTAATATCTTCAGTTAATCTTAGTATCTCCTTCTTATAGTTCACTTACCAAGAAGATAAAAAGCTATGGCAGTATAGTAGTCTTTGCATTTTCTCATTCATTCATTCATTCATTCATTCATCAAATATGGACAGAGTGCCTATTATGTGCCAGAAGCTGTTCTGGGCACTAAGCATGTAGAAGAAAATAAAACAGATGAAAAATTACTTGCCCTCATAAAGCTTACATTTTCGTGGCTTAAAATATTTTTCCAGTTTTATTGAGATATAACTGACATACAGCACTGTATAAGTTTAAGATGTATAGCATAATGACTTGACTTACATATATTGTGAAATGATTACCACAGTAAGTTTAGTTAACATCCATCATCTCACACAGATACCAAAAAAAAAACCCAAAAAAAGGCTTTTGTTTTTTGAGATGATCATGTTCTTTTTGGTATTCATCTTGCTATTGTGGTGTTTCATATTGATTGATGTTTCATATGTTGAACCATTCTTGCATTCCAGGCATAAATCCCTCTGAGTCATGGTGCATAATCCTTTTAATATGCTGTTGAATTCAGATTGCTAGTACCATCCTCAACTTCTGTGTATTGTTCCAAATTTAGTATATGTACTGCCAAAGCAAAAACTCCCAGTGGCTTTAGTTTTTAACGGGGCATAATATACTTTGAATTTCATAATACACTTTTAATTTCAGTTATCAATGGGTAAATGTCTCAAGGAGCAAGAATTCTTTTCCATGCTTGAAACATTAACAAAAATTAAGGCACATTTGCTACTTCTGATTGTCTTCTTTGCAGAATTGGCATCACTTCCTATATACCATTCCTCAATTGAACGTCAATGAGTGGCTGCTTCTTTGAAAGATGCTGTGCAACAATTTGACCTGTAGGGAGCATCCAGATTTGTGGGTGCAATGACACCACACGAAATGTGTTTGTAAATACACCTAAGTTATTTAAATTAAATACATAAGCGTATGAATAAAATGTACCGTGAATTCAGTTCTTCTCCAACAGATTCAATAATCCAACCTTTCGGATACTTAAAATATAGCCCCTTCTGTGTAGTAATGTGCCGAGTGTGTGGAGCATAGCGGTGGATTCTCCTGGCTGAGAGGGATCCAAACATATATGCCAGACACTTGAGACCCTTAAGGATAGGATTCTTTGGGGAAAAGTTCCAGGGACCCTACTTTTGTAAACTGACAACAGCTACTGGGAATTTCTGGTTGTTTCACAAATGATCGAACTCAATGAGACTGGCCCAGAGCTGGGAAAAGGTTAACAGGTGTTTACAATACCTAAGGATTTTCTATTGACTTGCTGGAAGCCTCTCGCTGGATATGAAGCACAAAGAAGGAAAACAATCTCTCAGCGGGGCACGGGTCGCTGAGTGACGCTGGAAGAGGGAACAAAACCGAAGCCATCGCTGGGGAAAGCCGGCCCGGTTTCGACGAACTACCCCACGCCGGGTGCGCAGGTTCTACGCCTGCGCCCTGAGCGGCGCCTCATTGCCTTGCGACTACGCCTGCGCCCTGAGCAGCGCGGTGCCCGCACTCGCATCCGCGTCTGCGTAGTGGTATCTCTCCCCAGGGTCGTGGAGTTGATCGCTGGTAGGGACTAGTTGGGATGCTCTGTTACACCACGTGTGTGGTACTGGTCAGTTATCAGGTAGGCGGTGCTCCAATGTAGAAAGAAAGGTGAATTCCCAGCCGGGAGCCTTTGTCTCCGATCTTTTTAAGCATTCTTTTTCTTTCTCTCTTTCTTTTTTTTTTTTAAATCCTGGGGTCCTCAGATGCCACTCTTTGTCCTATCTTCTCTGTTATCCACGAAGCAGCTGGAAATTCTGTCAGGGAATTTTAAGCTGGTTTGGAAGCAACCCCACCCGGGGTTCCTTTTTTATCCAGAAACATCCAGGATGTGATGGACATCTTAGAAGTGTTATTTCTTTTTTTGACTTCCATAGGAAGCTGAATTATAAACTTGGATAATAGATACTTTGAAGAAAGGAAAGCAAAAAGGAAAAATTCACACACACACATACACACACACACACACACACACACACACACACACACTTACATATACACAGAATAACCAAAGAATGAACTAGCAACTAACAGTGATTACCTCAGGGGAGTAAAGCATGAGTGGCTGAAGGACGGGTATGAGAGTGGGTTTGGGGGAGAGGGGGGAAGTTGCATCGTGTGAATTTTGTCCCGGTAGCGTGTATTATTTTTTGTGTCAGAATGTTTGATTCCTTTATCAAAATGAAGTCACCAAGGAAATTTGGAAATTTAAGACGTCCGGGTAGAATTCATTAATGCTTGATAGAATTATACAAGGTATAACGATTAAGTTTGGGAACTTGTTGCAACGATGTTGCTAATCTTTTCTGATATCAGAGGGATTATTCATTATGAATTTGTATCAACTGGACAGTTAACCAAGTTTACTCTTTGGAAGTGCTGAAAAGGCTGTGCAAAAAAGTTAGACCACCTGAACTTTTTGCCAACAATTCATGGCTCTTGCATCACGACAGTCCACCAGCTCACACAACACTGTCTATGAGGGATTTTTTGGCCAGTAAACAAATAACTGTATTGGAACACCCTCCCTACTCACCTGATCTGGCCCCGCAATGACTTCTTTATTTATCCAGAGAAAGGACATGAAAGGAAGACATTTTGATGACATTCAGGACATCAAGGGTAATACGACAGCTCTGTTGGCCATTCCAGAAAGAGTTTCAAAATTGCTTTGAAGGGTGGACTAGGTGCTGACATTGGTGCTTAGCTTCCCAAGGGGAGTACTTCAAAGGAGACCGCAATGATATTCAGCAATGAGGTATGCAGCACTTTTTCTAGGATGAGTTCATGAACTTAATTGTTAGGCCTCATATATACGTTTGAAGATCAAAGGTCTTGTGTAAACCAAGTCTTCCTGTTTATTTTTGGACAGAGATCTTTGGGAGTTGGGGTGGGAGGGTTTTCGTGGTACAGGAAAAGAGGAGCCAGGCAGTTTTGGAAATTAGCAGTGGTACCATATAGGAAACAAATTTTATCTCAGTCATTGTATATTTCTTTTGCATTTGCTGAAAGGTAAATTGAGTGAGTATGAGCTCATTGAAAAGGGGACATTTGATGTTTATTTTTGTACAGGAAATTAACCGGGTGTGACTGGCAGGGTTAAGACCTAAGGTTCCTCTTCCAGATAAGGAAAACTTCTCTTAGCGAGGCATCTCCAGACTGATTATGGTATATTCCTGCCCCCCAACCTTGCAAGATAACTTCAGACTCCCTCCTTTAAGGGAAGTGGTAAGCAAAATATCAAGCAACTTTGTAAGATGATTTGCAGACAAAAAAACTTGTACTGAAAGAAGACCCTGTACACCTCTCAATCCCTGGGTCAGCTGAACCAGTTCACCTTTGTTCCCCACTGAGTGGTTAGTAGATTTAGACAAGTGTAGGAATTTGGGACCAGAATTGAGGATCCAAAAAGTTTAAAGTGTAAAGTATGAGGCCAAAGATTTATAATGTTGCTTCTTAGTTTGCCTTGTTTCTAAGTAGGAAGTCAGATTGAACTCCCAAATAAGATATTTTGGGAATAGTGTTTCTTAAGCAATTCTAAATATCAGTACATATACAAAGAAATAAATGAAACCTAGTGGGTAAGGCATCAATCAGACTGAGCAATGAGCAGCACCTGGGGATAGCAATTCCCCACAGAGGAGAAAAAACACGTAACAGAAGAGCATACTTTAGTAAAATTTATTTTTTTTAAAAAAAGAAAAACAATAATTTATGCCTTTGGCAAAATAAAGGATCTTGTCAGTATAAATGTTTCTTAGAAAATATATGAAAAGATAATATAATATATATATATATATTAATAAATCAATATTAACATTACAGCAAAAGTAATGATGATTCTATAACAAAAACAAGTGAGAATATTTGTGGCCCTTACAAGAGCAGTGTTTCTGGAAGGTCCTATAAATCCTCCTTTTTTTTTAGTACAGATGTGTCTTCATTTTAAGAAAGCCTGATACGCACATATCTAAACTTAGAAAGACAATCAATTAAAGGATATTTATTTGCATCAAAAAATAATTCTTTACCAACAAATAAAAATCAACTAAAAGGTTTCTGTAGGGGATCTTTTGAATTAGCAAATTTTCCTAATGCATTTAGAATATAATTAACCAAATACATGGGTCCCCAACTTCTTTCATTATAGCTCTCTTGCATAAAATGAGGTATGCCTGAAGTGAGGCAGTAGCAGAGTCGGGTTTCAGATCTAACTAGAGAGTGTGTGTTCTTATAGTATGAGGAAATGGTTGTGGGCACAAGTTCTCTCAATCTTTTGTTTCACTCATCCTAAGCTCTAATTTCCTTGTCTCTTTTTCTGGTAAACTTGGTTCATCTGGTACTGTTAGGAAGAAAGGAGGAAGTCATCTGGGAGGGGTACAAATTAATGAATTAGTAAGTCACTCCCACAGAGCAGAGTGAGAGGAGCATCTAGGATTCAGAGTGTATATATGAACATAGCTGGGGGAAAGCAGAGACAATTCTGAACCCTCAATGTGTTTTTGAGGCTTCTTTCCCAGTAGAGGCACCTGAAGCCCTGAGCAGCAGGGCCCAGTCCAGCCATCCCTGGAACATGGACTCGGGCCTATTTGTCACACTCCTCCTGGCTCCCCTCAGCACAATGGTAGTGCTGCTCACAGAACTCCTGGATCCGGCCACAGGCCTCCAGCATCATCACTTCGGGGACTGTGATTACCACTCGGAAGAAATTCGGGTACTCGAAGCACTGCAAAAATAAGAAAGCCTGTTATTCTCAGAGCAACTGAATCTGGACCAGCCTAAAATGGCCAGGGCCCTCCTCAGCAAGAAGTAGTGACACCATTTACTCAGGGCTATCAATTCACTCAGTTACCATCATTGGGGTGCTAAGGCAGTAACTGAGTTCATTCATCTTAAAAGGGACTCGTGGGACAAGCTTGATTTCCCCACATCTAGAACGTTTGGCCACACCTTTTCTTCCTGGTACAGATGGCATAATGATGGGGAGAAAGAAATTTTAAATAGAGGCCATGAGACACATCAGTTTTGAATCCTATCAAATGAGAATACACTTTGTTGGGGGAGAAAAAGGCTAAAGAAAGACCAGCTCAGGGAGAGCGGCTGAGACTCTAGAAACTGTTGAGAATGTCTTGGGAGACGTAAGCACTCACTGTTGCCGGGAGGCAGTGGACAGATTGCTCAGCAACTAACCGCTCCGTGAACTCCACATCATTCTCAAATTCTGGGAAATGTTCCATCTCAATTTCAACCTATACCAATAACAGGGAGAGGCAAACTTATCAGAAGGAGGAAAAACAGGTCAACTCCCTATGCCAGAAATTAAGGTAGGGACTGCTATAAAAAAATACCTTGGAACTCTCTACAACTGAAAACTAATTTGATAAATAAGTTCTAGCACTTAGAGAATTTTTTCCAGGGAAGAGAGAATATATTTATATTAATATTTTAGTTTATTGAAAGGTTCCTTCCTGGATTCTGATAAATGAAAGCTGGAAACAGAATGCCAATGTTTCTCAAAAAAGGCATGCTTAGCATTATGGGTCTTGATTGCATGGAACTATCCCACCCATTACAAGATATTTAGCATGCTTGGCCCACAAAATGCCAATAGCACTCGCCCTGCCCTCCCCCAGTTATTCTGAAAACAAACGAATTCCCATACATTCCCAAACACCTCTAGGGAGCCAGTATCATTCCCAGTTGAGAACTATTCTATTGTACAATGGTGAAAGCCTCTTATTTGTGTCTTATTTCTTCCCTGTGTGTACATATAAAATGAGTCTCTGTATTAAGGAATTAATTCATTTTAAGAGTGTTTGTTTAACACTGAGCTTAGATCATTGTCAGTGGAAGAATTCAGAACAAGGTCAAGGTAATTCTTTAACTGACTGGCTCAGAAGCCTAGCTCTTTGTGAGCCCTGCTGACCGGCTTTCGTTTGCTTCATCAGAAGTACCTGCCACCCACATTCTTACCATGAGGTACATGGCCCCAGAAGGACGGACTGGCCGGAGTCCAGGGATGGCAGACAACGCCCCATAGCACAGATCAGCATTGGACTACAAGAGGAGGCAGAGACATCAAGGATTAAAAGTTAAGTAAAAGAAAAGGACAAGTTATTAAAAGGAGAGCCCACATCAAAGATGGGGAACCTAAGTTTGCCCTACTGGCATAAGGAATCAACCTGCCATGTGAAGCTTTTGGCCAAGAGCAGAGTGAATTGCCAGAAGCTAGAGAAATACATGGTGGATATTTGCACTGATGCCACCTCCTGATTTGGAAGCACCATCATGGAACATTGTTCCAGAAGTGAGTACCTATTAGTCTTAATTCCACTGGTGGCATTCCCTGACTCCCAAAGTGGAAGGCCGCAGGCTGCCCTTACCTTGAGGAAGCTTAGAGTGTTGTGGTAGAATTCTTGAGGGGTGCGACGCAGGATGTTTTTCAGAGCTCCCTGGACAAGGGTGCAAGGTCCCAGGATCCGCTGACTCAGCTTCACCAGTCCATCTCGGATCTACAAGCCCCCCAGCAAACACATTATTTAGCCTTCGTTCAGCATCCTGGCTGTGGGAACCCTTGTTCTGACCATTCTTTCTATCAGTTTTTAAATCTCTGGAGAAGTAACAGTGCCTAGCGGCATTCTTCATTCAGACCCTGGGTTTGTAGCCTAGCTCTGCTTCGCACCTGCTGTGTGACTCTGGGCAAATTATACAACGTTTTCTTTGCCTCATTTATCTCAACTGTAAAATGGAGATAATAATGATACTGGCCTCGTGGGGCTGTTTGGAGGATTAAATTAAAATAATGTGTATGAAGCACTGGCACACTGTATGCCTGCAAACAATATTATGTGTATTACTGCTATTGTTTCCTTTTTTTGTGGTCCTAAAATTGGAAGTTCTTCACAGAACCAGATGGAGAAAAACTGAGTTTGCAGAAGTAGTACCATCTTTATCTAGCATTTTTCTAGGCACCCAGAACTACGGGGCCAAGAAGAAAGACCCAAAAAACCCCCCCAAAAAACCCAACTCCTAACCACGGTGCACATGCAATAAATACAGAGGGTGCTGAAAATATGTATACACATTTTAAGAAAGGAAAAAATTATTAAAATTTTAGTACAGTTTTTTCCTTTCTTCAATATACACCGATAACAAAAGATAAATACAAGTCATGCGTACACATTTTTTTGGCATCCCCGGTATATATCCCAAATTAGACATACCACATTGCTCTCACCTCATTGCCAAAAATGTTTCTTCGGTCATGGATGAGGATCCAGCCCAGTCTCCAGCCAGGCACCAGCCAGCGCTTGGCCAGCCCTCCACAGGACAGGATGGGGACGTTGGTGCTGAGGTTGGCCAGAGGCTCAAATTTGGAATCTGAAAACACCTGAGGAGGAGAGGAGCTTGTTGTAGTTGTCTTCTTGCTTACTGTCCTCCAAATCCCATGCCTCCTACCCTTTTCCTTATATCACTAGGGACAGGGCCTCAGATTTAGGGGCTCATCCCTACACTGAAGCATAATTGGGATCCCAAGAGGCTTTCAAGGGGACTATCCAAAGACATTTAACCTGGTGTCTGGCCTGGATTAAAGGGAGCCTAATACAACCCCCTGAAGCCAGCTCTAGAAAATGAATGAGGGCTGGCCGAGTGGCACATTGGTTGAGAGCTGGCTTGGGACGCCAGAGGGCCACGGTTCGGATCCCACATATGAGGGCCAGTGACACTGCCCTCTACAGCTAAGATGCTGAACAACAGCTCAACCTGGAGCTGGGCTGCCATGAGTTGCGGAGACAGCGTGGGCTGCAGCGGGTTGCCATGGGCTACTGTGTGTAGCCAGCAGCCAGCGTGAGCGGCCAGCAGCCGCTGTGAATGGCCGTCCAGAAGCCAGCGACTGATCTGCCTCAGCTGGGAAGAGCGCAATGATGGTGCCAACTTGGGCCAGTAAAGTGACGTCCTCCACAACTAGACTGAAGAACAAAAGGACAGCAACTTGTCTGTTCCCCTTCCCCCAACTCCCCAGTGCAGTTCCCATCCCCCAATTCCCCAATAAAAAATCTTTAAAAAAAAAAAAAGAAAGAAAATGAATGACTGTTGGAGTTATAAATTTAAAAACAAAATATGGGTCCACAATCACTTATCTAAAATTCCTGGGCCCAAATATGTTACAGAATGTAGAATTATTTGGATTTTTGAAAGGTTATGTAGCACATGTCCCATATATTATGTATTACCCCCAGAGCACTCTGGGACAGCACTCCTAATCAAGCAGATTAACGTTTCTACCCCTTCCCCTACACTCTTATACAGATCCATAAGTGAGAAAAATAGAAATCTACAAATATCTTTATATCAGGCCAAGTCTGGTATTGCCACCGAATGAATTCCAAAACTCTTCAGATTCTCATAGCTTTTTGGGTTTCAGAAACTGGCTGAGTGGTTGTAGATCCCTACATTTGTGAAGAATGCAGGGATATTGATTTGCTGTACTGAAATGATTAGGAGTTGCTTCTGACTATTTAGATGCCACCTCTAAATTCCCATGAAATCATTTGGAATTGAGATTACTGTAGTGAGATGTCCTGCCCAAGACTCACCATGTCTCCATAGATCTCATCAGCTAAGATGGGGACGCACTGCCTTGCAGCCACTGAAAACAAGCGAAACATGCTGAAATCATTTTGAATGTGAATTGCCTTTGCCCTTAGCATTCACCTGGGCTTATTGTACTTTGCAATTCATGTTTTTGTGTTTTGTCTTCCTCTTGAAGAACTCTAAATTCTAATTATACTCTTCCAGGGTATAAGGCCTAAATTTGCCATTTAATTAACTAGATATGTCAAACTCTTTCTTCTGCCTGATGGGAGTGGTGAAGAGGCAAGTATTTCCTCTTTGTCTTATTCTTTGATGCCAGTCTTACCATTCTAGTGGCACGCTATTCACTAGAGACCCCAGTGAAGATCCCCCACCTCCATCCTAGGTTTGGGACTTAGTGACAGACTCTTTTCTCATTCCAGAAAACGGCTAAAGGATTCCATCCCCATCTCCTCCCCTGTCAAGTGAAGTCTGCTGGACTTACCGGCCAAAATCTTCTGGAGATGACTTTTACTGAACACTGACCCACAGGGGTTTGATGGATTGTTGACAATGAGACAAGCTGTCTTTTCATCAATCAGAGCTTCCAATTGTTTCAGGTCAATTTTCCAAGACTTCTCTGGCTGGGGAGGAAGAAAGGGTGAGATTATGATGATTCTGAAAAATGTAGGGGGAATACTTCCTTAATTCAGTGGTGTAATGTAAATAATAAAATGTGTCTGTAGTCTTAACCACCCATTCCAGATCCTTCTCTGCTAAGATAATGCTCATAGATTTTTATGAAGTAATAATTGAGCACTTGTGTCTAAAATTAAAGTCACTTACCAATAAATTGTAGAGTTTGACCTCAATCCCCATAGATTCAGCCAAAGTCCTATACAGAGAAAAACCAGGTCTCGGAACCAGGATGTTTTGCCCTGGGTTGGCCAACACAGCTAAGCAAAGTTCAATAGCCTGACTGCAGCCACTTGTCAGAATGACATCCTGTGAAGAAAAAAAAATAAAAGGTTCATTTTATTAGGAGTTCCAACAGCAACAGGTGAAAAGAGATTGTCGGATGAGTGAGAAGGGAGCAAAAATAAACTTACTCTTATGAGTTCTATGTAAAGTAGTAGGGACTATACTAAGCCAAAAATAAAAGAAATGAATATGTTTATATATGTCCATATCTAAAAGTTGTTGAAAATGTTAGCCACTTAAGAGAAAAAAACAAATCACTTAAAAAAAAAAGGGTAAGTCAGCTGTGATTCAGTCAACTTCCATGAGAGATCATTATCATCGAGGGTTATTTATTTACTGGTTATTTACTTTTAACCAGAAATTTGAAGTCTGACTCTTCTATGAAATATGGACAAAGGGCACTCTGATGTTAAGAAATAGCGACCCCACATAGTAGACACTAGAGGCAAAGATGGCATTTAAACTTGGCACTGCCATCCATTCAATATGTTACGGTACCTCAATCTTCCCATCTGAGTGACCTTAAGGTGAATGAGGGAGGCTACAAATTTTTAAAAGACCCTATTGGTAAAATAAAAAATTCTAATTATTCAGTGTTTATGAATTATTGTTTTCCAATGATCTTTTGCAGAGAATCAAATATAGGGTGCCCTCTGAGTTCTCTGAGCCTCCTTAAGACAGACACCATAAAAACTGAATGCCCACATCATTATCATACTGTCATGACATTAAATATAATCACTGATCAGTGGCCTCACTATGTAAGAAGGCCTCGAATTGCTAAAGGGATGTTATCCTTAGATCTTGTTCTTCTTGAAACCCTCATTCCTTGTAGAACAGAAACAAGGAAAAGTGTATCATTTGCCCAATATTGCTCCTGAGCTGGTACCTTGTTGAAGGCTCACCTTAGCTTCCAGGGGTGCCTCGGGACAGTGGTAATAAGAAGCAACCTCTTCCCGACTGGATAGGTAACCTGAAAGAAAGGAGCAGAAGAAGGAAGTTGGAAGTTTTCATCCCATAACTGACAACTAAGCTATGGAGTCACAGAGCTTCGGGCTTCTTTAGTCCCTTCTCAGAGCACATATTATTTAGTTTAGCTCTCAGCTGCTGTAAATAAAGGAGATTAACTTTATATCGGATAATTTTATAATAAGCACAAATACATAAATAACAAAAAAAGAGCTCCCCAAACTATAAAACACTGCACCATCTTGTTTACTTTGATTCTATGTTTATTCTATATAAAATGCAGAATTAGATTAGATTATTCCCAAATCCCTTCCAGGGGCCACATTTTTGAAAAGTTGTATTCAATGAGTTTAGTACATTGGGTCCATTTTAAGTTTTTCATATTAAATACCTACTGGTGTTTTGGTACAATTTTTTCCTTTTAAATTCAAATGTTGGCTTACAAGCTTCAAGTATACATAGTTTCAGGCAAATGAGCATTTTTGCTAAACTGCTCTTCAAAAGCATGGTCTTTAATTAGCGAGGCCAGAGGCAATATTTCATAATGTCTGTTAACATAATAGGTAGAGGGGTCTGTTGAAGTTATATGAATCAGTACTTTCTTAATTACTAATAAGGAAGAGTATTTTTCGAGATATACTGTGGATTATCTGTGTTTTGTTGGCATGAGTGTTCATATCCTTTGAATATTTGAGACTTGATTTTGGTTTTTCAGGTTGAATCAATTCTCTAATACTTTGGTTATAAAAGCCATTCATAAACTTTTTTTAATACCCTAACTTTTAGTCTTATTGTTTTTATTTTTGTTGTATGAAACTTTATAAAATGTAAATAATCAACCTAAAAATCATGTTCCTGATAACCTCTTTGAAGTGTTTTAAAATTCTATTTTAGCATGAAACTGAATTTTTACCTCTTTAATTTGCAACAATTACAGTTTCACTGAGACTGTGATCAGGGCCATGATTAAGATAAGCCTTGAATACATAGAGAAGGATAAATAAAGACAAGGAGCTATTTACATAGGGCAAAAAGTAAATTAATTTAGGACCTGGAGGTCTCAGTAAACAAGCAGCTGCAGCCAAATTCAAGGCCTTCTTTTGATAATTAGTAACAATAGGATAGGAGCATTAATTTAGAAATAAGTATGTGATGGGAGCCTAGAGGACAGATGCCAGTATGCCAAAGAAAGTCCAGAAAGAAGTTGGACCTTGAAGCTTATGCTTAAGCACCCTAAGACCCTTTTCCCCAAATCCAAATGGTCATCTTAGCCTCTCGTTAGGGACTACGCATCAGGAAAGCAAGAAGAATTGCTAGAAATTTATTCTTCTTGGAAGAGCACTAAAGATTTAGAGACCACTAGACAGAGTCTCAGGAGGAGCTTACCAATGGAGGGAGCATAGCCATTATACTTCCCGGAGTCCAGGGCATCTTTCATTGCTTGGGTAACTTCCGGGTCTGTAGGCAGATTTCCAAACACAGTAGGGTCCCCTTTTCATGGGAGAAATTAGAAAAGAAGAAGAAGAAAAAAAGAGCCATCAAGAGGTTACTTTTCCACATCCAGTGCTCGGACTCACCCTCTACTCCCATCTTCTCCAACCAGCCTGTGGGGATGGGGGTGAGGGGAACAATGACCACCCCCCCAGTCTGGTATCCCCAACTCACCGATTGACAGAGAAATCATGGTTTTGTTTGGGTTTGGCTTCACCTTCATGCCATCTACGATGGTCCGGATGGGATTGAAAGTTTTGTTGGACATTTCCGAGGGCTTCACGGACCATCTGGCCTTCCTGCCTTTCACTTTCCCCTGCTTGGAGTTTTTCCCACCGATGTTGACATGAACATCCAGCACAGAGGGGAAGTTGCCATTGCTGTTCATCTGGATCACGTATGGGTCCATCACTAGCAAAGTCTGTGGAGAAAAGAAGGAAGTCCCTGTGACACTAGGACCAGAGCACCACCCTGGACAGCTACATTTGAACCTAAACATCGGGGTGATTTCTCTGGATGCCCCTTTCCAAACGTCTTTGTTTTACTGCTTTTGCATGTAAAGTAGTTCTGTGAGGAATGAGGGAAGTTTTAAGACTTTTTGCTGAGATAGAAAGTGAAGCAAGAACCCGTTCTATAATGTTAGTGGAGAGCATTCTGTTGAGTACTTATTTACTATGAGATTTGCTATGTTCAACCCTAAAACCACATACAAGTTTAAACATGCTGTCAGTGAAACCGAGGGGAAATGATAATGAAAACTATTAAACAATCAAACAAAGCATATGTGTTTCCTCTTTCCCATGCAGTGCCAGTCCAAGAAAGTGTCCCTCACACTTCAACAAACTTGTAAATTGCCTTCTGCAAACAAGAACCAGGAAGATTCATACCATATTGTTAGAAACTTAGTGTTAATATTATCATTTGTAAAAAATAAAGCCCTAACCCATAAGCATCTTTCTGTCCTGTAGGAAAAAAGTCAATACACAACAAAGAAAAAAGCATACATCCCAATCACTACCACTAGATTAGTTGAGGCTTAAGATTTTACCTTCCAAGTAAAGGAGAAGCAACCTCCAAGTAGCCAACAAGAAAGCTGTGTTAGCTCTTCTTCGACAGGTGACAATGGACTCAGATGCAATTCCTGACTCCTGAAATAGTCTGCACAAATGGGCGTTGGGCCTGAAACTTTTGTGCCATTGGTTGGCATTAGAATTGGACAGCCAACCCTGTTCTTTCCTCCCCTTTCACTTTTTGATTCTTCTCACCCCTACCCCCACCCCCTCTGGCCAAATCAGGAATTTGTCCTCATGTCAAACATCTGGAACTCTCTGTGTCAGCTCTTTCTGGGTACTTTGTGAAATGTTGGCGAGGACTGTCAGAGTGGTAATTAGGGTTACGGTTGGTAATTTTTATTAATTTTTTGTCACAAAACAACCTATTAAAATTTTAACAATACAGAAATGTGCAAAGTAAAAAGTGGGAGTCTTTCCTTGCACTCTGCTATCTGTAACTCCATTTTCATGCTCAGGGGTAAGCAGCTGTAATAATTTGGGCTTCCTACTCATTCACCAAGATAGAGAGATGATAGGTAGGTAGGTAGGTAGGTAGGTAGGTAGGTAGATACAAAGTTACATAGGATACGTAATAATAGATAGATAGATGATAGATAGATAGATAGATAGATAGATAGATAGATAGATAGATGATAGATAGATACGATATATAGATGATAGAAGATAGCTACATAGATACATACATAGATACATATAAAATTTCAAAACACAGATAGAATCATACTCTACACTTGTTCCACATGTTTATTTACTTCCTACATCCTGGACTCCTTTCCCTGTCAGTCCACAAATTTCTAGTCCAGTCAGAACAAACTGGGCAGCTAAAGTAAATTAAGGCCCACTCAACAAATATCTTAAAAGTACAGGGTCTTGTAAGCAACCAAAACCTGTGCAGTTTTATCCTTACACTGCTATGGAGTTACTGGAAGTATGAGCTATCAGGTAAGATCTAAACAAAACATTGCTAAGCAAGCACAGCGGAGATCTCAGCACTCCGATGAACCCTTAAAAAAATGCCACCCCTTCAAGGGTTAAGAGAAACCTTGGTGACCCATGGCACAGATCCTATCTGTTGATTTATTGGGAGAGGAAGAGTTGTTACATACATTCTTCTCCATCTACTTTTTGGAATTTGAGTCTCCAGTGAGATTGAATAACCTTTTGTTTTTCTGGACCTATCATCTCTTAGGGCTTTGAAGAACTCATCTAATGCATTCTCTTCCCTATTCCCGTCAAGCATTTACTACCTCATCTTACCAGTGGAGCAGCAGAGGCACCAGGCAAGGGCAAGAAGCCAGCCAGGGCAAAGGGAATTTAGTTCTGAAGCTGGGGCCCTGAGCCCTAAGCTCTGTTTCCAAAGGCAAATATATGGCTCTGTCTCTACAACATTCAAAGACACAGATAAGGAAAGGCTGAAGTCAAGTCTGCTATTTGACACCCTGTAGCAGAAGGCAAGTGGCTTGTTTTAGTCAACGCCATGAAACATTCTATAGATAGGAGTATACTTCACAGGCTGGACAGAGTAGCCCTGTGTGTAGGAGCCAACAGAGTGAGAACGTAGTATTGTTTCCAAAGCACATGGACTTTGTCAAGAGAAAAGACCATCCTTTTCGAAATGCTCTTATTCCACCACCCTCCATTTTAAATATAAGGCATGTGTGCAGAGAAAATCAGGAAAAAATTCAAAGCTTTTATAACTCCACCACCACTCTTAACATGTTAGTCTTATTTTTCCCCCATAAAGTTGGGATCTTGTTCCTTACACGTATTTTTTAAAGTGAGATAAAATTCACATAACAAAAAAGTCACCATTTTCGAAGTGGAAGATTCGATGATTTTTAGTACCCTCACAATGTTGTGCAACCATCACTATCATCTAATTCCAAAACATTTTCATTAAGTAGCCTCTCCCCACTGCCTTCCTCTCAGCCCCTGGCAACCACTAATCTACTTTCTGTCTCTATGGATCTGCCTGTTCCTGACATTTCATATAAATGGATTCATACACTACATGGCCTTGTGTACCTGACTTCTGTCACTTAGCAAATGTTTTCAAGGTTCATCCAACTTGTGCTTATATCAGTAGGTCATTCCTTTTTATGGCTGATTAACAGTCCACTGTAGAGGTATACCACATTTGCTTACCCAGTCACCAGCGGGGTGGTGTACACTTTTTGGTTATTACAAATGATGCTGCTATTAACATTTGTATGCAAATTTTTGTGTGAACATATATTTCAATTCACTTGGATAGTTTTTGCTTTGTGAATTTTAAAACTAAACCATGAATATTTCCTTAAGATAAATTTTTCTATACATTGATTTACTGCATTGAAGAGAATAAACATTTTTCTTTCAGTTTTTTAGTAATTAAGGTATGATATATCCTCATATAATAAATTCAAATATAGGTGCTTATAAACTAAACCCTGAGTATCTTCTTTTCCCACAATCCCACCCCATAGAGATAGCCACTTTAGCCATTTTTTGTGTATCTTTCCAAGGGTTTTCTATGTCTATACAATACTTATATAGTTTAACATATATATATATATATTCTATAGCTGCACTGCCCCTTATTATAGCCACTAGTCATAAGTGTCTACTGAATTCTTGAAATGTGGCTTATCTCAATTGAGATATATTGTGGGTGTAAAATACACATCAGGTTTTGAAGACATATAAAAATAATGTAAAATATTTTATCCATTATTTTATATTGATTACAGACTTAAATAATATTCTGGATTATTGGGTGAAATAAAGTATATTATTAAAATTAAGTTCACCTATTTCATTTTACATTTTAAAATATCTCTACTAGAAAATTTAAAATTACTCTGTGATTTGTATTCTGTTTCTATTGGACAACGCTGTTCTATAACTCACTTTTTAAAAAAATCTTAAAAATACGTTGTGTGGTTGTTCTTTCCATTTTTACACACTGAGAGCAACTTCATTCCTTTTAATGGCTACACCGTTTGTTTAACCATTCCTCCCCTTTTGGACATAGGCAGCTTCTAATTTTTTTCTATTACAAATAAAGCCTATTGAACACAATTGTTATTTATGATTGGGAATTTTTATAAGTATCCTGTAATTTATATAAGTATCCTGGATAATTTCCTAGAAGTAGAACTACATTTCAAGTACTGATAGACCTGCCAAATTGATCAACGGATAGCCTACAAGGAAGAAGAAACATACAAATATGTCTAATTTTGACAGCCTCTTGGAGTTCAGACTACCTGTCAAGACAACATATCCAGCTTGAGGGGTAACACAGGCAACCAGCTGAGTGTTACAGCAGGGGTTCCCTAGGTGGACAGAATCTCAGAGGTTAAGATCCTTCCTGATATTGGCCTTAGCAAGAGTTAAGTCAAGCAAGAATGGAATTTTCTTGTAGAAGCTACTGTGACTGATTTCTGCCAATCAAGGTTTAGACTTTCAAGGATCCCAGCTACACATGAGACTCAAGTTCAATTCCTCCTACACACCCACACAGGCTTGGTGTCCTGTCCCTACCTGGACATTAAAACAGGAGTCATAGACTGTTCAAATAATCCAGGGCAGCAGTAGTGTCAGCCCACCTTTGTCCTTGGTTTTTGGTTCCTTATTGTTTGGCCCCTGGGGCAGTCGCTTTGTATCTTTGGCGCTCAGGCATTTTGTTATGTTTTCTCCAACATTTCTAAATATTTTTGTCACTGAAGATTTTCCAGGTCATCCTGACCTCAATATTGTCAGAAACAGAAGTCTCTCTCCTTGTTAACTTGAAATGTCACCTTTACCTTAGACTAAATTCCTGAATTTTCCTGAACCTTTTATGGAACATTCTAGTCTAGAATGAAGAGTTTTACAGTTCTGGATACGCATTGCCAGCTTGCTTTCAGAAAGGCCAATTATCTTTCTATCAGTAGTTGTTTACGAACCCTGGGAATGATTTTCTAAAAAAAAGTCTTTGCCAAATTGATGGACAGAAAAGAAAATGGTATTACGGTGTTGCTGTTATTTCTGTTCCTTTTATTTTAGTGAGGGTGGTCACTTTTCATATATTTATTAGTTCTTCGTGATTTGTGATATACGGACTCATCTTTTGTGTGTGTGTGTGTGTGTGTGTGTGTGTGTGTGTGTGAGATCTGGGCCTAGAAAGTCACCACAGGGCAGGCAACAAAACAGCTGCTCTGAGGTCACCGGCCCAACCTCCTCTGTCTCAACTCTGCTGGCTCAGACTCAGGTTTACAGTTCAAAGAACAGCCAGCAGTGGAGAGTGGTCTGCAAACAGAGCAGCTGACGCAGAAGGTGGAGGGCCCAAGAGGTGTGAAGGGGGCAGGGGCTCCTGTATCTACCCGTATTCAGGAGCCGACAACTGAACCAACTAAACCAAGGTTAGAAGGGGAAACAGGCACATCAAACAGTTTTGGTAATACCCTTCTTCTGTAGTTCGCATTTTCTCTCAATAGATAGCTGAGGGTGGGGTGGAATGGAGAACAAAGGAGAGGACCCTGCTCTACTCCAGAGGCCTGATGCCCCCAGGTAAAGTCTTGTGAGCAGTCAGGGCCAAAAACACTGCAGAAATACTCACAAAAAGCAATACCAACCAGCCAAATGAAAGTTAAGGCTTTCATTTAAAAATCAAAGAACACCTTTCATTGAATTTTTTCTTAAATAAAAAACTATTGTGTTTGCCATAGAAAAGTATCTTTGTATTGTGGCAAAAAAACTACATAACATTAAATTTACCATTGTTCAGCGTACAGTTCAGTAGTGTTAAATACATTCACATTGCTGTGCAACAGGTCCCTAAGAACTTTTTCATCTTGCAAAACTGAAACTCGACAGCCGTTAAACACTAATTCTCCCTCTCCCCGCTCCCCAGTTCTTGATAACCACCTTTTTACTTTGTAATAGAAAACTATTTTTAAAATAGTCGCACCACCGAGAGATCATGACTGTTAACCATTTTCCCAATAATTTACACTTTGAAATATATTTTTTTCTAGGTGTACATCCATAGGTTTTATATATCAGAATTTTCTATTGTCTCATTTTACATGATATTATGAACATTTTCCTATGACTATAAA